TAGTTCTAGCTAGTTGGGGCAAGTTAGAACTAATAATATTCGAAGCGATATAACGAGAGGTAGAAAATGAGCCCAAGTAAAAGGAAGATACCGTGTGATAGACAATATAAAGGGATACATACTGGCGAAGACGATGGTAAAAATGGAGATCGGAGGTTGCCGGTAAACGCGCGCGAAGTCAGCACGGCGCTGCCGTTTTCTGCTCGCTGCTGCCATCGAGCGATGTTTCAGACGTTACCAAGAGAGATAGAGAATGAGTTAGAGCATGATACAAATTAGAGGTAATAGGTAACATGTAGGGCTAGTCACCAAAGAAGAAATTAGCAGAAACGGAGATTGGAGGTGATCGGAAAGTGCGTGCGAAGTCGGCACAAAACTGCAGTTTTCTGCAGTGCAATCTCTCGCAGTTCGGGTTTGTTCTTCGCTGTTTGGAGCTTTTCTCCGCTGTCCGGGCTTGCCGAAGGTGGGAGGAGGTTACCGGGGTCGTCGGGGTGTCTCGGTGGGCTCCACCGGAGGTGGGAGGAGCTTTTCTCAAGTTAGTTCTAGGCTCTTGGGCTCTCAAGTTAGTTCTAATTTGCCCCATGTTAGTTCTAACCCGCCCCATGTTAGTTCTAACACGTTCCATATTAGTTCTAGCTAATTTTAGCTCTAATTCATCTTAGTTCTAGGCTCTTGGACTCTCAAGTTAGTTCTAACTTGCCACATGTTAGTTCTAACCCGTCCCATGTTAGTTCTAGCAAGTTGGGGCAAGTTAGAACTAATAATATTCGAAGCGATATAACGAGAGTTAAAAAATGAGCCCAAGTAAAAGAAAGATACCATGTGATAGACAATATAAAAGGCTATACACCAGCGAAAACGATGATGAAAACGGAGACCGGAGGTGGCTAGAAAACACGCGCGAAGTCGGCACGGCGCTGCTGTTTTCTGCTCGCTGCTGCCATCGAGCAATGTTTCGGACGTTACCAAGAGAGATAGAGAATGAGTTAGAGCATGATACAAATTGGAGGTGATAGGCAACATGTAAGGCTAGTTACAAAAGAAGAAATCGACAGAAACAGAGATTGGAGGTGATCGAAAAGTGCGTGCGAAGTCGGCACAAAACTGTAGTTTTCTGCAGTGCAATCTCTCGTCGTTCGGGTTTGTTCTTTGCTGTTTGGAGCTTTTCGCCACTGTTCGGGCTTGCCGGAGGTAGGAGGAGATTTTCGGGGTCGTCGAGGTGTCTCGTTGGGCTCCACCGAAGGTGGGAAGAGCTTTTCTCCGTTCCTAAGAGTCTAGAACTAAGATAAATTAGAGCTAGAACTAGCTAGAACTAACATGAAGCGAGCTAGAACTAACATGAGGCGGGTTAGAACTAACATGGGGCGAGTTAGAACTAACTTAAGAGCCAAAGATCCTAGAACTAAAATGAATTAGAGGTAGAATTAGCTAGAACCAACATGGGGCGGGCTAGAACTAACAATGACATAAGTTAGAACTAACATGGCATAAGTTAGAACTAAAATAGCACAAACTGGTCATTTACTATCTGATGCCGTTCGAATCTAGAAAAACTTAAAACACCAAAGTTGTAGGTCTCTTCAACGGCTTTCTAACAAGTCTTAAATTACCTCATTCTGAGTTCGGACAGAGAAATTACAGTAAAAACAATAATGTAAACTAATATGACACAAACTGTATGTAAGATCTGGAAAAGTCTAAAAGACCAAAGTAGTAGTTCTCTTCAATAGCTTTCCAACAAATCTTAAATCACCTCATTTTGATTTCGAACAGAGAAATTACAGTGGAAACAATAATATAAACTAACATGGTGTAGATTAGAACTAACATAACAGGGGCTAGGACTAACATAACATAAGTTAGAACTACATGACATAAGTTAGAACTAACATGACACAAACTAATCATTTACTATCTGATGTCGTTCGTATCTGGAAAAGCTCAAAATACCAAAGTTGTAGGTCTCTTCAACAGATTTCCAACAAGCCTTACATCACCTCATTCCGAGATCGTGCGAAGAAATTACAGTGAAAACAATAATGTAAACTAACATGATAAAAACTATATGTAAGATCTTAAAAAATCTAAAAGACCAAAGTTGTAGGTTTCTTTAACAACTTTCCAACAAATCTTAAATCACCTCATTCCGACTTCGGACGTAAAAATTATAACCGAAACGATAATGTAAACTAACATGGTGTAGATTAGAACTAACATAACAGGGGCAAGGACTAACATGTCATAAGTTAGAAGTAACATGGTATAAGTTAGAACTAATATGGCACAAACTGGTCATTTACTATCTGATGTCGTTCGAATTTGGAAAAACTCAAAAGATCAAAGTTGTAGGTCTCTTCAACGGCTTTCCAACAAGTCTTAAATCACCTTATTCCGAGTTCGGACGGAGAAATTACAGCGAAAATAACAATATAAATTACGGCTTTCCAACAAGATCTTAAATCACCTATAGTTTACATTGTTGTTTTCGATGTAATTTCTCCATCCGAACTTGGAATGAGGTGATTTAAGACTCGTTGGAAATCCGTTGAAGAGACTACAACTTTGGTCTTTTGAGCTTTTTCAGATTCGAATGAAATTAGATAGTAAATGACCAATTTGTGTCATGTTAGTCCTAACTTATGTCATGTTAGTTCTAACTTATGTCATGTTAGTCCTAGCCCCTGTTATGTTAGTTCTAATCTACACCATGTTAGTTTACATTGTCGTTCCCACTGTAATTTCTACGTCCGAAGTCAGAATAAGGTGATTTAAGATTTGTTGAAAAGTTGTTGAAGAGACCTACAATTTTGGTCTTTTAGACTTTTTCAGATCTTACATACAGTTTGTGCCATGTTAGTTTACATTATTATTTTCGCTGTAATTTCTCCGTCCAAACTCTGAATAAGATGATTTAAGACTTGTTGGAAAGCCGTTGAAGAGACCTACAACTTTGGTCTTTTGAGCTTTTCCAGATTCAAACGGCATCAGTAAAAGACCAGTTTGTGCCATGTTAGTTCTAACTTATGCCATGTTAGTTCTAACTTATGTCATGTTAGTTCTAGCCCCTGTTATATTAGTTTTAATCTACACCATGTTAGTTTACATTGTTGTTTTCACTGTAATTTCTCTGTCCGAAATCGAAATGATGTGATTTAAGATTTGTTGGAAAGATGTTGAAGAGAACTACAACTTTGTTTTTTTAGACTTTTCTAGATCTTACGTACAGTTTGTGTCATGTTAGTTTACATTATTATTTTAGCTGTAATTTCTCCGTCCGAACTCGGAATAAGGTGATTTAAGACTTGTTGGAAAGCCGTTGAAGAGACCTAAAACTTTGGTCTTTTGAGTTTTTACAGATTCGAACGGTATCAGATAGTAAATGACCACTTTGTGTCATTTTAGTTCTAACTTATGCCATGTTAGTTCTAACTTAGGCCATATTAGTTCTAGTCCGCCCCATGTTAGTTCTAGCTAGTTCTACCTCTAATTCATCTTAGTTCTAGGATCTTTGGCTCTTAAGTTAGTTCTAACTTGCTCCATGTTAGTTCTAACTCACGCCATGTTAGTTCTAGCCCGTTCCATGTTAGTTCTAGCTAGTTCTAGCTCTAATTCATCTTAGTTCTAAGCTCTTGGGAACGGAGAAAAGCTCCTCCCACCTCCGACGGAACCCACCGAGACACCCCGATGACCCCGACAACCTCCTCCCACCTCTGGCAAGCCCGGACAGCGGCAAAAAGCTCCGAACAGCGAAAAACAAACCCGAACGGCGATAAATTATACTGCAGAAAACTATAGTTTTGTGCCAATTTCGCACGCACTTTTCGATCACCTCCAATCTCTGTTTCCATCGATTTCTTCTTTGGTGAGTAGCCCTACATGTTGCCTATCACCTCTAATTTGTATCACGCTCTAACTCATTCTCTATCTCTCTCGGTAATGTCTGAAACATCGCTCGACGGCAGTAGCGAGCAGAAAACAGCAGCGCCGTGCCGACTTCTCACGCGTTTTCGGCCACCTTCGGTCTTCTTTTTCACCACCATCTTCGCCGGTGTGTAGCCCTTTATATTGTCTATCACACGCTATCTTCCTTTCACTTGGGCTCATTTTCTACCTCTCGTTATATCGCTTCGAATTTTGTTAGTTCTAACTTGCCTCAACTAGCTAGAACTAACATGTGGCGCCCTAAAACTAACATGGGGCGGGTTAGAACTAGCATGAGACAAGTTAGAACTAACTTGAGAGCCCAAGAGCTCAAGAACTAAGATTTCGGATATAAGATCAAGACACGATTATTTTCCCGATTAGAAAAAAATTTGAGGGTGTTGTTGGTTCATCAAAAGAGGAGAGTCACAAGTAAAAAAATAAAGAAGACATTAAAAGTCTCGTTAGAATTGAAGTCAAAACTAGCCATGTCATTCACTTTCTTCTTTGACTTCAAAACCCGTCATTACGTTCACGAGCCTCAACATAAAAATATAATTTTGATTTATGTAAATCACAAGACTTCTGTGAGCCCTTGCTTTTCTGACACAAGGCTAAGTCACACATGAGAAACAAATGAACTGAATACTTAATTAAACTCCATGATTTTCCTCTCATATCCAGCAAACATAACAGGCCCGTTGCGACAAACTCGAGGGCGAGGCTTAGGGGCCTGGGCGGAGGTGGCGACGGCGATGACGAGGAGGGCGAGGGCCAGAGCGACGAGCTTGAGAAAGCCCTTGGTTTTAGAGAGAGAGAGAGAGAGTTGGGTTTGAGGGATTGAAGAAAGGGGATAAAGTTATTTTGGGGATTTTAGCTTAGCTGACATGTAATAATTGTTAAAAAAAGCTGTAGTACAAAGTGTCACACTTCAAAGGGCTGAATCACATGGGAAAACTAAGAGCGATTGCAGCACATAAAATTTTTATTTTTAGGGTCTGGACACATTTTTCCTATAATAATAATATCCTACCCATTTTCAACTCTTGCATCTATTTGATCGCATGACCCCACCCGCCGAAAACAAGACAAAACACTCCCCATAATGTCGCCCCGCTTCTCTCCTCGTCTCCTCTCCTTCCCTTTCTAAATCGGGGCGTCGGTACCCAAATCCGTCACTTTTAGGGCTTCTTGCCTTCAAACCTTCCTTCACATTTTCGTGATAATATAACGACAATCGAATCAACGTTTACTCCCAATAAGTCCCCGTTCCCGGTGCCCATGGACCGAAAGAGCAAGTTCTTGACGACACAAAACCCAAGAAGTTCTAGGGTTTTGGGTATCGAGAAGGGGAAAAGCAAGTTGGTGTCTTTGGAAGAGGGCAGCGCTGACTTGGATGAAGCGGAGGTTTGGAAAAGATTTGAGGAGGCAGGGCTACTGGATGAATCGAAGTTGAGATGGAAAGATAGAGAGGCACTCGTCGAAAGGATCCACGAACTGGAAAAAGAGGTTAGAGTTGTGGGAAAAAAATCAAATTTTTTTGTTCCTTTTTGTTGAAATATAATGTTTATGTGCGATACTTTTGCGGTTGGTTACATTTCTTATTTTTTTTCCTTTTAATTAAAGTTGAGACACATGACTAAATCAGACTGTCTTTCTTCATTTCTTCATTTTCATGGTAAATGGGTGTGTTTCCCCCCATAATTCTAAGTTCATCGGCGTTGATTATACAAAGTTGAGCATTATGCTGGAAATTACCTACATTACAGCTAGCGAAATTAAAGGTGCAATCTTTGGTCTCCGTCATTTAGTTCAGATTAAGGGCTTGTTTGGATTTGGAGGGGGTGAAGGGAAGTTAGGGGAACCTAGGGGAAGTTAAGTTAAGGGAAGAGAAGGGAATTTCTAAAACTTGTTTGGGAAACAAGTAAGGTGAATCAAGGGGAAGTTATTTCACCTCGTTTGGAAAGTGTAATAACGGGAAGGGAAGGGAAGAGAATGTATATAAATTGACATAAATACCCTCACATATTATTAAGTTATATTGTTGTTAGAAATTAAATATCAAATTTGCATCTATTGCTATATATTATTATTGTCATCATCTCCTTCCACATTGTATATCCACAATCAACACAAATCAGATAAATATGAAAAAATTTGGAGTATAGTTGGAATGAAAAATAATAACCAATATATTCATCGATGAGACTACAAAACAATACAAAGCTTATTTTCACTCTTCTTTTGCAAATATACCCAGTTAGCAGAGCAACGACCAACTAAATGATGAAACTCAAATACCTACACGAACACAAAACTCCTATAACACTTGTCATTCAAGCTGCAAAAATCCCCAATTTTGAACGGTCTTTTACAAATTTTATTGCTCCATCAAATAAGCTCAGTTTGGATGATACAAGGTAAATTCATCAACAAAAACTAAAAAACAAATTGCGTTTATTAATACTATCCAGCATCAACCTCATTAACCAACATCCCCGTGAAAAATGTTCCAATGAAGCATTACGGAGAAATAAAATAAAACCTTTTTTTCCACAAAGTAGCTATTTATGCTCATATTTTCTCCACAGTTGACATAAGACCCCTTCAAAGAAGGGAGGAAGAACAAAATCTTCAACCGCTTTCACTCATTTCTTCAATTTCGTTGAGTTATCCAAGGCCAAGTCCTGTAGGTTCAGTAACAGGAGAGAAAATCTTACCTTGAAAAATCAAAACCCTTGCTCAAACTAGGCGAGAGATTGAGGCGAGACAAGACACGGAGGAGAGAAGACGCGAAGGCGAGATGAGACGCGGAGGAAGAAGTAATGGCGGAGGCGCTTGCAACGAGAGTGTATACTGTGGGGTTTCTGTGAGCAAATTTTAGCCGTTGGATTTTGATCTTAGCTAGAGGTAAATATGTCTCTCTACATTTGTTGTATTCCCCCTCTTTACCTTCACCCCCATTACACCCCAAATTGGGAGGGAAGAAATCATGGTATTTTCTCACCTCCTTTCACCTCGCCTCACCCCTATTAACTTGCTATATTTACTTCCCAAACAAGGTTAAAAGTTACCCTCCCTTCCCCTCACCCCCATTACCCTCAATCCAAATAGGGTCTAAGATTTTACATCAGATTTGAAAAACCGCCAATTGATTGTGAGTGGAACTGTGGAAAAATATAGATGGTACTATCACTGGCTAGTTTTTACCGGTAGAAAGAGATCATAAATGATAATTGTACATGGGATAATATAATTGTAAAGTAAAGGGAAATAAAAATCTGTGTTATGGATTTAGTTAAAGTTTATCCGTTGGCCCTAATAGAAAAAGCTTTCAGATATATATTCTCAAAACTTCCGGCGATGAAATCTTAAGGAACTCTTCCTGGTTTCTTGACCCAAACATAAATCAAACACTTAGTAGAACCTATTCTGCTCATGTTGGATATGTTTATATACTATATAGTTTTGTCCAGCTTTCAATTTGTCGGACATGGTGCAATTTATGAAACTCTGCTATTTTGGTCATTCTTTATCTTTTCTATTGAATGGATATCTTCCACACATTCTTCTTCTGTCCCAATAGTCTTGTATAGTTGTACAATTGGAATATTATTCAGCTAATATTCCATAATATCTCCTTCCTGGAATGCCTAGATTTATCTATGTATAGAGGTATATGCAGTAGTTCTAAAATCTGAATGTTCGAATACAAAATTGATTAATGCTACTTCGTCGAGTGGTCCATAAACCGTGTGATTCTGGTGGTGAAGACGTAAAAAAGTATAGATAGAAAAGTACCGTGTGTACTGTCCTTTAGAATTTCTTAGGTTGGGTGCTACCTTCCTTTTTGTCTTGAGATAAATGGTTTGAGTATCACTACTCTGTAATATTTGACGCATCTTCATGGTGTTTAAATTTAGTGTTATGTTTGCATACTTAATGTTTTCTAACATCCACCACATTGCTCTTTTGCTTCTGCAATTTGTGCTCGGAATGCTGCAAATTTCCACCCAATTTAAGGCTTTATAGGCAGATATATACAGAAAAACAGAAGTTGATCTTTCTATAATTACCAGTTGATTGAACAATGAGAAATCTAGAATGACATAGTACATAGAGATCTACATCATGCATAGCAAAGCTGCACCAAAATAATTCTTGATATCTGGTAGACCCCCAACCCAAATGCGTGCGAATGCGCGCACACAAGGCCACCTACCACAATATGGTTTCCAAGTTTATTCATGTTAGCTTCTGTAACCATAACATCCATTGATGTTATTTTTGGTAGTTTAATCAGTTGAGATATTATCCAAGGTTGTGGAAAACAGATATCATAGTTGGTGGAGGGAGGAAGTGGAAGAGGCAGCGAATAATGATCTCGGGTTATTTTCTCTTAACTCAAATTGGAGAGGGTGAGGGTACAAAAATGAACCCAAATAAAAATAAAAAATCACTTAAAAGCACTATTTGCTGCTAAATTTGCCACTATTGTGAGCAAATAGCGCAAGCTCCGCTAAACTCAGCCATTATTGCCAATATCGTAGTGGGGTAGTTCCGCTACTGCTATCCAAACCGCTATAGCGACGCTAACCACCGCTATTTCCAACAGCGATCTTATCTTGAGATATGGATGTTGCAGGGAAAAATCTCCATGTTTATTTTCTTGATTTCATTTGCTATGTACTTGTACATTGTAGTTTTTTTCTACCTTCTCATCGCAAGATTTTAAATCCCTCTCTGATGCAATTCTTAAGTTACAACGTTGGTGGTTATGTATTGTTGTCGGGACATCTTCTCGTAATTCAAGTTCAACTATGTAACATAAGGTTTCACTTGGTTAATTGATATCTAATTTTTACTTCTTAGTTACACTTGGTTATTATATGACCCTTTTTACTGAGCATTTGAATTGTGCCAGCTTTATGATTACCAATATCATATGGGCCTTCTTCTTATCGAGAAAGAGAAACAGGCTTCAGAATACGAGGAGATGAGGCAGGCGCTGGCAGAAGCTGATGGAATCTTTAACAAGGAACAAACAACACACATGATTGCTATAGCTGAATTTGAAAAGCGAGAGGAAAATTTCCAAAAAGCTTTGATGGCCGAGAAGCAATGCATTGAAGATGTATCAATCTAACAGATAAATTCTCTCCTTCTTTTATCAAATATTATTTATTAGTTGTTTCATTTATGGAACTGGTTTTCTAGTCTTTGTTGGTATAATTCTGAAACTGGAGGGCAATTTTATGTTTCTCTAAACTTTTTATTGAAGCATGGTACATTCTTATACTAGTTAGGGGGTGTTATTCGTTCGAGATTGTTGATTTGGACTCGGAAAATTGTTCCTGAATCCGACATTCTTGGATTGGGCCCTGGATTCAGATTTTATGGTTAGAGCCCCGGACTTTCGGATTGGATTTCGATTTATTGAGTAGAATTCTTGAACTTTTGGTTTGGATTCTTGAACTTTTGCTTTGGATTTGTAGATTGGGGGTCAGATTCTTAGACTAAATTTTAGATTCGTAGATTATTTAGATTAGGATTTTCAAAATAAATTATTGTGTTAAATAATAATTATTTACAAATAAATGAGCATTACTTGGAAAATCACCCTTATTTTAATTATAACAAATGGCAACAACAAAACTGAATACATTTTGTAATCCATTTAAACCATTCAGTTGTTCAAATACATAAAAGAAAATAATTAGTGTTCAACTATATAAAAACTATTATGTGTATTTAAATATGTAAATGTTAAATATATTAGAAAATTTTATATCAAACATTTGACATCAATTTTTCGAATCATTTCATATTAGGTATTTTTATTATTTAATACATAAATTTTTTTAAATATTGCATATATTTAATATTTATGTACTTAATATATTTCATTTCTAACATTTAAATAAAAATGAAATGAATGTAATATAATATTAAATATTGAAAATACTTATATATTTAAGGAATGTTAAATAATAAACATATCTAATTTGATATTAAATATTAAATATATTAAGTGATTAAATAGTATTAAATATATTTCATTTTAAATGAATTAAATAAAAAAGAAGTTGATTACAAATATTTTAAAATTAAATACATTCAATGTTAATATATAAATAATTTAAGAATATAGAATATTTTAGAATTAAATATATTTAATTGAAATATATTAAATATTTAAATAAGTAAAGAGAAGAGGAGAGAGAATATCCACATAGTGAGATCACAATCCACCAATTTTAAACTTGGACTTTCTCTAGAAAATTTCTCATTAAAAACAATAGAGTTGGAATGGAGTGTGGATTTTAAAATCCTGGTCCTAATAACAAATCTACACAACCAATAACACCTTAAATTCAAATTCAAATCCTAATCCTAAACCAATAACACGATGAATTAAAATCCAAATCCCAATCCTAAACCAATAACACCTTAAATTCAAATTCGAAATCTAGTCCTAAACCAATAAGTAATAACACCTTAAATTTAAATCCAAATTCTAGTCCGATACAAATAAAATCCTAATTTCAAGTCATTTGGTTGTATGTTATATACTCCATTTTCACTATGGTGCTTATTCTGATAGCCTGTTTATTTTTGAAATGGAGGGTTAAATAATGGGCACTGCTTTTCCTTTAAAATTACGACGGAAGGTTAAATTTTGGAGGGTTACATGCCTAATGATGCAAGTCTGTCCCATCATTGAGTATCGATGACAATAGCTTCATATTCCTTTTCCTCTGTTTTTACAATTTCCATTGTTTTCTATCAGGCTAACTGTGCCTTAGCTGACCTGCACATGCTAGTTGCATAGCCAGCTCTTTTGGGTATTGGTGTTAGTCATACGTGATCAGTGAATAAGATGAAGTGGAAAAGAAGAAGCGAGTGAAAAAGGTTATACATACAGATAGAAGGAAGTTAATCATAATCATAGTTTGTGTGTGGATATTATGGATTCTAAAACATAAATCCTTGATAGCCATGGCCATGGGATTAACCCTTGCTGTAAATGATGGTCTACAAATGAAATGTGCCTTTAACACCTTAGATTGAGCATGGAGTTTTTGTAAGCACATCTACCTCTTCTATCTCCCTTCTATTAATTTGCACCTCAATTTTTACTAGGGACTGTCTATTTCAATTTGAGTTCCTACCATGACTTTTTGTTTAGCCTCCAAAGAGTACAAATGCTGTAACACTTACCACATGCTACTTTGTAGCTTGTTTATATGTGCACATACGTGCTTTTATGTGGTCGAGATTTTATAGTTCTTGCAGTGTGAGTTTACACTTGCATCATAGTTAGTTTGATATTCTACCTCCATTTATTCTTCTAAAATGTCAACTTTTCATCTATGCCGCTGGAGTCAAGATTTGGATTATTTCTTAGACTTCATAAACCTGTCAGCTGCAATAGGTCAAGGAGCTAAGATATGTGTATTTTCTGATTTTGAATTTTCTCATCATTGATTTCTAATTACACTTCCAATGCCTTTTTTTTAAGCTATTTTTTCTTTATCTTCTTCCCTTAACTAAGCTTGACCCTTTATATTTTTCTATGAAGCTGAAGGTTCAGAAGCTCCTTGGTGATCTTAAGTTGTCTCTGGATTCCAAGAATCAAGAATTCGAGTTGGAGTTGGATAAAAAAAGAAATTCCTTCGAGGAAGATCTTAAAGAGAAACTGGATGATCTGGAGAGAGTTGGAGTTGGATAAAAAAAGAAATTCCTTCGAGGAAGATCTTAAAGAGAAACTGGATGATCTGGAGAAGAAGAAAATTGAGATTAGCTATAGAGAGCTTCGAGGAAGATCTTAAAGAGAAACTGGATGATCTGGAGAAGAAGAAAATTGAGATTAGCTATAGAGAAGAGCAAAATTTGATGAGAGAGCAATTATTGGAGGGCAAAATGCAGCAGCTGCAGGATAAGGAAAAGGAGAGTGATGCGAATTTTAGATTATTGAAGGAGAGGGAAGAATCTTTGTATAGAGAAGAGCAGAAACTGAAGGCTGGAGAAGTGCAGCTAGCTGTAGATATTCAAAAGTTGGTTGCTTCTAAGGCCGAACTTGAGAGCTCAAGAGCTGCAATTTATATCGACAAACAGGAAGTCGTTGGAGAGAAGGAGAATCTCAAATCAATGCAACTGGAAATAAAACAGGAAATTGGTAATTGCAGGGTTATGAAAGAATCCCTTACAACAGAAACTGAAGTGTTTATCCATGAGAAAACCAAATTTGATAGAGAGCTACAGGTATTGGATGAGAGAAGGGGAGCTCTAGAAACGGAGCGGAAGCAGCTCAACCATGACAAAGAAGCATTTAATGACTGGCGATGCCTTGAAGAGGAGAAGCTCAAGTCGTTGCAACTAAAAGTTAAAGAGGAAGCTGGTAGTTGTAGGATCATGAAAGAATCTCTTATGAAGGAAACCGAAGAGCTGATTCAGGAGAAACATAAATATGATAGGATGTTAGACGAGAGAAAGAGAGCCCTAGAAACAGAGTTGAAACAGGTCAATCATGATAGAAAGTCATTCAATGACTGGCGATGTATTGAAGAGGAGAAACTGAGGAAAATGAGGATTGATATCCAACAGGAGTCTGAAGAACTCAGATTGAGGAAAGAGGCTTTGGAGAAGGAATACTCTGATTATTCTCGCGTGCTTGAGAGGATGATGCAGGTGGTGGAGGAAAAGGAAGATAAATTGTGTGAAAGAGAAAATAAGCTTAGAAGGGGAAATCAAATGAAGATGAGTGTTGTAAGATCACCAAACTCCTTTGATGAATCAAACTTTCCTGAAGAAACTAAAAGAAGAAAGCTCGAGATTGACCAATTTGAGGTACAAAATGCTGACAGAGAGCAAAACAATCTGGTGGATGCTCATGTAGGGCTTACTAAAGAGAGAGATCACTTCCTTGCTGTGGCCGCACAGTGTAAGGTCTGCAGGAATTGTGGTGTTACAGCTAGTGAATTAGATTCTACAGACCTCCAGACTCCCAGCAGATCTACGACTGAGCAGAATAACCGTTTGGAGGAGCGTAAGGATGGTATGAAATGCAAAAGTTCTCTACATGGATACTAGCAGTTCTTAACATTACTTAAAAATTATTGAAACACTCGTGAGTTCTTATTAAGTGAATAATTCCCAAAATTATCCTCACATCAAGTTATTTTCGAACCACAAAATTCTACGATTTCAATTATTAACTGCTGAGTATTGACATATAACATAACTTATCCATGGAAAATATGTAATGTTGCTTGATGACGTTATTTGTTAATCCTTTTGCATCTCATCTTATTAAAGCCTTTTTCATGTTACTCTTACTGTAATATTGTGAGCCTTAGACTTTAATTTTTATTTATTTATTGCATATGCTCATTATTCTGCGGTTTCATGCGTAATCACATCTTTTATGATGTTCTTCAAATTTTTCCCCATCTTACTACTCCCTTGGCCTAAGTTGAGTTTATGATTGCAGGTCCTCGGTCTGTTCATTTGAGTGGCCACTTCTCATCACTTAGAAAATGTTCAATGCAATTCAGTTCATCTCCTAGAGAAACAGTTGGATGTCGAATTGAAGGGATGTCTTCAGAGCCCATCTCATTCGGTGAAGAAACTTCAAAGTCGAAACCTAAATATGATAAAGCCAGTTCCGAAATTGGTTCTAGGGACAGTAAAATATCAGAAAGATTGTCTAAAGATGAACCAGAAACTTCTTTGGAGACAGAAGGTACTTATATTAGAAAGAGGGAAGGTGAACTCAATGTTTCGTTCAATGATTTACCAGATAAGGAGGATGAATCCAAACATCAGAATTTATCAGCAAAACAGAGAGGTGGGCATCAGAACAGTAGAGATCAATCTGACACTATCAAAGATATCAACTCTGTCCAGTCCGTTGTTGAGGATTCTAAAGTTATCCTCGAGGAAACTTCAGAAGAAAAAGAACTACGAACAAGGAACGAGAAAGCAAAAGATGTGGTGGATATTGATGAAGGAAGACATCAAGGTTTGGTCCATGCTGATCAGAAGGAAACAAGCAAGGATCAAAAGCAGAATATTTATCTTGCTGCTGGCCTGACAACTGGGCAGCTGGCTTCTAAGGGTGATGAAGTGTTATCTGCGAATTTATCGGTTGGAGGAAGCCGAAAAAAGCATCAAACTTCTGTTCCTGGAACACCAACCAGTGGAGAAAAACGTTATAATTTCAGACGCTCCACCATGTAAGTAATATTGTTTTACATATTTAGAGTGCATCCTGAGTACAATAAAGCCGAAACTGATAAGTTAGGGGCTTCATTGCTTTTCTCCGTGTTAGTTCTTGTTGATGTTTTTGTAAATTGAATATTTTAGAGTATCACATATTGCCTAACTAATTTGCTGTTTTTGTTCATTTTGATGATTGATTGCTCCTATAAATCTTTTGTCATTTTACATGTTCAATTAATATGATTCAGAAGAAAGACTTAGGAAGAAAGTCAGGGAATACACTTCTGCTGAACTTAATTTGATATCTCCATTATCCCCTTGCTTTGTTATCAACCTATTTCAGATTTAATTTGTGATCCAGCTGCAAAAAAAAAAAAAAAAAAAAAAAACCCTTAATCAGCATTCTTGGTTTAAAATTTTCTGACTTCAAATTGTTATTGTTTAGGAGACAGGCTTAGTTGATGATTATTATATTTATAATAACTCAAAGCAGACAATCTTTAACCTAACCTACGGGTCAAAAACTGATAAAAGAGAGGAAAATACAAGATTAATCGAGAAAGCACTTGCTTATAGAATTTTTTTTGGGATAATTCAGTCCACCGCTCTTAAGGGTACGAGATATCACCACCCTGGAGATGCAAGCAAGAAACTCATTACTCTATTGACCCTAACTTATGGATATTGCTGTAAATTTTAGTGCTCAATCAATCCACCATAATACGAAGTGAAAGAAGAAAATATGAGTCAGTTCTTAGTAGGGTCTTTTGCTTATATGCCTTTTAAAATTAGGAATTTTCTATTACTCCTCAAAAGATACAAATTGCATGAATACCCTTAAAAAGTATTAAACGTGCATCTATGCTTGAAGTCCCTGACATTGACATCGATTACCAGTATAAATCCTAAATTACTGGAAGCTTTTTTTTTTTAAGTTAACACAAGTTATACAATAGAGATAGTGAACATAAAGTCTTTGTATTTTGAGAAAGAAACTTACATAATGTATAAGAAGAAGACAATATCATTATTGGCGCTAAGTGTCAAAACATTGATTACCTTTTCGCACGGTTTATAATATATACATAGTCTTGTATTAATTTGATTTAAAATATGATAAATAGAAAGCTTAATGGACCGAGAAAATACTTTTGTGGAGATTGTCACTACTCACTAGCACATCCATGCTTCTACAGCGCTGAATAATCACATTTATGAAGAAATAAATAATAATGCATAGTAGATTGTTGACAGTAATCAGAGTTAATTGAGATTTCACGAACAAATATGCACATTGTTGTTAGCACGCAGATTTTTATGTTTCAAAGGGTATATATGTAGTTAGTACATCTAATTTTTTTTGAGATATGAAAATTTCTAAATCTTTGAGGAAATGACACAAAATTCTTCTTAATATTTTGTAAACTTCTTAAATTTATAACTTTGGACTTTTATTACTTATACATGTTTGATATAGATTTATATAGCTTGACTCACCCCTCCAATCATAGGAAATAACAAACAAATAGAGGAGAAGCTCAAAAGTCCTCTACTCATTACTGACACGGGGAGATGCAAAGAAACTTACAAAACTAAATTGAATGGGTTATGCCAGCTTGCTCAAGCTCTAGTATTTTGGTATGACTTCCTTTCGGAAAGTGCAATGCAAAATAGTTTTAAGCATTGAAAATTAGATTTTTCCTAAAATCCATATAGGAACTGTAACCTTGGGCCTCATAGATCTTTACAGACTCACATTCAAACTTGGCCCAAATTCTTCATGCTGATAGACTGCAAAACACCATTGACTTGATGTATTAAGTTACTATTTTTGTGGATGAACCTGGACACTTCTATATGAAGAACTGTTTGATATTTTTCTTACCTACGATTTGGACGTGCTTGCAAGCATCTTTACTGGCAGATCCAGGTGAAAACCAACTGGTGGTTGAGTGGTTTAATCTTCTAGTAATGCACATGGTTAATTGGTTATACATTTTTTCATTAAAGTACTAATTAGTTCGACAGTGCTGCAGAATGTTGTGTTTTAATACTTCATTAGGACCTTAGAGTAGTATGGACTAAAATTTAAACTTGGTGTCTTGACGTGGAGGAATAGTAATTAATATCGTATAAGGAGATACTTTTGATATGTAACACATGGAACTACGTTCAACCTGGAGACACACACTGACACACCCACACACACACACACAATGACACACAGATTCATGTAGCAGCAATACGATCCCCACGTTTGAATAAGAAAATCAATATTCCTATTAATATTTTGGTGATAATGCATTTCCCCCCCTCTTTGACATTGGGGCATTCCGAGAATTAAACTCGGGAGTGATAATGCATTATGATAAAAGCCACTTATTCATAGCAAGACTGGATGCTAAAAGAGACATTTGAGGTAGTTGTGAGTCACATATGAGATGATCGATGAAAGGTTGTAACTTGTAAGAATTACTCCCTCATTTAATAGTTTATTTGTATAATTCTGTGGCCTTTCTTTTTTGTATTGATGTCGTATTTTTGGAATTTGTCTATTTTTATTTTATCGTAACACAAGTTCTGAAAACACAGAAACAGGACCCGGCATTTTTCTGCAGAAGATTGAAACAGCACAATCTGACATATTTTGGTTGGAAGCAACTTGACCTCTTAGCTGAAATGTCAAACTTTGGGAATAATACACAATAACCGAGATGAGGATGCTAAAGGTAACTTCCTAACTTTTGATTGAAACGCTTTGTTCCTGTTTTAGGGGAATGTAGTGGTCATGGCATGTGGCAATATTACTGCTTTCTTTTATTTGGAACATGCCTTTTTTTTGCTATGTGAACTGTATGATTTTTTCCCCTTAGTATATACTTTCTTATTTATCATATTTAATGGCGTCTTCTTTACGATAACAGAAAGCTCATGGAGAATAGCAGAGCGAGCTGCAGCAGCAACACCTTTGGTGGAGGACAACATACAAAACAATTGAAGAAGCTTGGTGTACATCCTTTTCGCGCTGTATTCTTTTTAAATTCATATTATTCTCGAAGTTCTGGAGTACCATATACAAAGTTTAACGGTATATAGTTGCATATATTGGTCTTCTCCTGTTGTGTATATGTCGTCTAGTTCTTGGCAAGCACATGTTTTAATGCTCATCTTATGATGCTTTTATTGGGAAAAGATTGAAGAATTTACAGTAAAGTTTCAGTTATTTTGATCTGTGCTGAATGTTATTTTGATTGTGCCCAAAGTGAGAACTGGTATGATTTTGTTTGACATCATTCCTCTTGCCATTTTATTTCGTTTGAACCTGGTATCTGGGCTAGGAATCCTCCTTGCTGTTGTAAATTTGACTGAAGGTCGGTGCTTTGTACACTTTTCACGCGAATTCTTCCCTTCGACTACTATTACTCTCCTGCTGGCTGGTGGTTGATATGATCAAGGTGAGTTACGAATGATAAAGCTTATACAAATTAAGATTATTATAATATCTCTAATTATGGCTCTACCTTTGCTCACTTTTTGCTGCATAAAGACAACAAGGCCCTCTAGTTTTGGTTATCTTGATCGCACGACCCCCAATTGATTAGATGAACCAATGGTAACCTGCCACTGAATAAAACCCCCAGTTGAAGCATTGCGCACAATAGCAGCCAAAAGATAAAGCTGAGGATAGATAGGGACTCCTCAGTATTGAGCGGATCAATTGCGAGAGGAAGAGAGAGCAGAGAGGCGAAGCTTTATCTTTTATTTATTTATTAATTTATTTGCTTCCACGCTTTTCTTTTTCTTGGAAAGACAGTTGGCCCAAATCCCAAATAATCCAATCCTCATAACTGCCACCTTAATGGTGGTGGACAATGGTCCAAACCGTCCCCCCTTCTCCTCCATGGTCGAGATATTGGTGGCCACAATTTCATTTTTATTGCTTTGGGGTGAAAATATCAAATTAATTCGATATTGCAGAGTTTATTACATAACTAACTTAGTACATTAAAGTGCCGGGTACACAATACATTTCATAGAAATCCCCTTTGGTCCACATCCAGCCCTCTAAAAGTTATAAATGCCACTTAACTAGGACAAATTTTCAAAACCATCCTATTTGAACATTTAATCCCAAAAAACGACCTATTTTGAACTTATTTACAAAAACCGACCTGGTTTCAGCGCTGGTTTCAGCCTTGGCGCTGAAACCAGGTCGGTTTTTGTGAAAAAACTTCCGAAACTTCACGGGAGTTGAACTGCCATGAAGTTTAGTAAAGCTGCTAAACTTCATGGGAGTAAGTTTCATAGTTTAATTTTTTTTTGAACTACGAAACTTCACGGGAGTTGAATTCCCGTGAAGTTTAGCAGATTTACTAAACTTCACGGGAGTTTAACTTTTCGATTTTTTTTTTCAAAAACCGACATGGTTTCAGCGCCAGAGCTGAAACTAGGTCGGTTTTTGAAAATAAGTTCAAAACAGGTCTTTTTTGGGATTAAATCTGGAAATAGGTTGGTTTTAAAAATCCGTCCGAGGAAAAATTGG